GTGTTCACACCAACATGTGAGCAAAATATACCAACTAAAAGTTTAAGAAGAAAATGTCCCTTAATGTTGTAGTATATGCTGGAAGAAAAGCTAAATTATTATTAGTGCAAATTTATAAATATTTAGTTAGTTAGGTTTAAATAAATGTTTTAGATAACTGTCAACTCATTTAAGCAGTTTTTTTGGTAATGGTTGTCAGTAATCTGACTTATTTACCTTCTTTCCAGCTCATGTTGTTGACTTCGCCCTATTGTACTTACTGGCAGATAGAACTTGTTTTCTCCTGTGTTTTCTTCCAGGAAGAACAGGCTGTCATTACTTAGATTCACAGGTGGAGTAGTTGTCAGGTCGTCCTCTGTGGATCCTCCAGGATCCTCCACGAAGAACTAACAAACAAAACAGAAAGGATGGAGGGAAAACAGATTGACCCATTGTTTAGCTGTCACAGCATCCAGAACCCATTTACATTACATTTACAAGTTACTGAGTTAACCGACTCTGACTAAAACCTGTTAAATTATGCTGTCATAATCTGAAGAGATAGCTGGATGTAGCTGAGTGTAGTAACTGTTGCTGTACTTGACTTTAATGTCTCTTACTATGTTTATTGTATCGTTATGTAGCAAAATACCAAAGCAAATTCCTTGTATATAAAATCATCTTTATGAAAAATGAACGTATGAATGTATGATTCTGATAATGAGCTATGTTTACAACTGCATCATGTGAGCTGTGGAGATTAATTGTACTTTTGACACAGTTTCCTTCTGTGTGATTTGTCGGCTAAATTGATTGTTTACGGAGTTTAGTGGTCTGGTCTTTCATACATGTTATGCAGCCCATGCATGTGAATCCCTGCTCATGGACATAAACAGGGCAATTACTGCAATACACGAACTAGCAGTAGGGAATAGGCAACATAAATAAATAATGTTTATGTCACATTTGTATTGGCCTGTATTGGAGAATATAATGTGAATATATTACTGTTTGGGTTTTGTAACAGGATACATAACAAGCACTGCATCTTTCTCTTAGTGTGGCACCAAAGGTAGAAACAGAAAGTACCAACACAGTCATAACACTTTATAATGTTTCATGCTAAATTTGTACAGAAATTATGAAATAATTTGATACTCAACCTTGCAAAGTATGACTTCATACTTTTAATATACTTTTAATGCCTTATTATACCAATATAAAGCATTATGAAGGCTTACAGCAACTCTTACAATGATTAATGCATACTTTATTATTCAGGCACAGATTTGTTTTTTAGTTTTGGTGTCATAAACAGACTACAGCAATGCATTAAATACACATATTTAGTGTAATATTAAAATAATAATTGTATAAAATGTGTTTATTCAGCCCTATCAAAGTTTAAATGTAATTTTAAAAGGTTAATGGTAGCACTTTTCCTGCACTATTCCTGCAGAATTAAATTAATAATCAAAAGTCATCCACTGTGACCAACCACATCCACATCACCACATCTTAAACTGTAACCAGTTTCTCACCATGTTGAAGACGGCCATCACCAGTATGAGAGCAGTGGTCGTCATGGTGAGGACCAATCGCAGCCAGGGATTATTGGTGACAATAATGCGGGAGGAAGTGGGGAACCAGGTTAGAGAGCAGAAGGACCCCTTTCTTCCCTGCTGAGGATGGAAAAAAATGGGAATGATTAGAGCAAGAGGTAGAAGCAGTGGATAGAGCCAAAGAACAAAAAATATTATACAACTCTACAATGCCTACAACATAATACTACACTGAGGACTTTGTGGTGTCTTGTGACTTAAATTAATACAAAGATACAGGTTCGGTGGAAACATCTGTTATTTCTAAAGCTTGCGGCAATTCAGCCGATCTTACTACATCTCAGCAAATTCACTGAAAGGCAGCAAGTATAGGACCAAGGCTCATCTATGAAATACATGCCAAACATGGAGGTGCTTCGTTAAAAAACAACTGGAGAAATGAAATTACTTTACTAGAGTGCAATCCTGGATATTGTCTCTTCTTAAGCATAAATCAGTGTGACAGTTTTCTCTTGTTTCTCACCTTTCAGCACAGTATGTTCATACTTCAGTATGAGCTCTAACAGGGCTGTCACACTTAGATTGAGTCCTTGGATTTGTGACACAGATTAATAAAAACTAACATTAAATGCCTGTTTGCCAAACTTAGCAAGAATTCATGAGGACATCAAATGCAGATATTCCCTTCTAAATCGCATTCAACAGTGCCAGTGTGCGTTCTCATTTGACTTGGGGAGACATGTCCAAGAAATGTCTTGGATCACAATAGCCGTATAATGCAATCTTTCACAGATGAACAGAGCACAAATTTTAACTTTAATATGCCCCATTAATAATAACTTATCAGCACATGGAACTTTAGCACACCCACATGTAGAGCAACATGGCCTCTCATTAGTCAAGTGTGTGCTCTTTCACTAGTGACCACAGCAGCTTTTACTGTTCAGTGTTAAATTGGTGGGTAGTACAAACCAGTCAAACATGATCTCTCTGTTCTTACTGAAGCAGTGTCTACAGCTGATATCTGGATCAGGGCAAGCTAAAGGTTATTGATAACGCTTCATTAATCAGAAGTGACCCACTCACTGGGTGATAATACTCTCTTGAGACACAAGAACGAGGAAAGTAGGCTCTTAGGGGAGAAATCAGTTATTGATTGTCCATAAAACACTTCTGAGTGTGGGTGTGGGTGATGGGTGTTATTTACAAGCTGCTACAGCTCAAGTAGCTGTAGCAGCTTGTAAATAACAAGCAGCTTGTAAATAACACCCATCCCTCCTCTTGTGCTGGACAACAAAAAACAGCAGTGAATTGATGGAAGAAATACTGTATGAAACAGAATCAAATCAGCTCGTATGAATCTCATATAGATTTGCCAGCAGTTTGCAACAGAATGCTGTTGTGTAGCTCTTACAGAGGAATGAGTTACAACTTTATATTTCAAAAGGTCCTTGGATTAAAATGTTTTGCTTGTGTGTTTAGTATCGACTCATCTCATTCAATTTTTTTCTTCCATGTAATTTTGGTATTTTGACCACAGTTTTTGTTGTCTTGATTACTGGTACGTAGTTTATTGCTAGGGCTATAGGTGTGGGAAAATGCATTAATGTAAAAGAAAAGGAAAGACTGAATTACTGCACTTTACAATGTTTCAGTCATGGACCCCTGTG